TTCTCTTTTTCCTTCTCTTGTCTGTGTCCTGTGACCTCACTGCTAACCTTCCCCTACCAGTCTACCCCTCCCTCGCCAACTCCTTCTAACTCCCCACCCCAAAGGGTAAAGTTGCTATATTGAAGAGTTTATTCACTATAAACATATGCTGGGTTGGTCCTCGATTTTTATTTAATTCACACAGTTAAAGGTGATAGATTAATAACTATCACAAATTGTCATTTTCTAAGGTGTACTTGATGCTATGGTGCTGCTGATTGTATCACTTAGGCTAAGGTATTGTGATTGATCTAATCAGATGTCCTTCCTGGTATAATGAAAATAAGGTAGCCTCAGAGCCATTAGAAACTCAAAAGCTAAAGACCAGCTGTATCTGGAAGACACTTCTGAGAAGCAATCATTCCATAAGGGTTCTAACTACAAGCAACAAAGATACAATAAGCAACTTCAAAGTATCAACCCCAGAATTAAACCAAGGACAATACCAAAAACAAAATTGAGAAAACATTTAAGCAAGGCACAAACTCAGACTTCCACCTCATAAAAGGCAAATTCTGGGGGAAACAAGGTGAAAAAGTCTGACAGTGAACCACCTGAACACCCTGAACTGATAGCACAGGAAGTAATAAAACAGATGAATGAGGTTCTAGAAAAATTCAAAGCAGAAATAATCTCCCAGATAGCTACAGAGTTGGTGAGCAGAGTGAAAGACATGATTACAGACTGTAGAATAGAAACAGATAAAAAAAAAAAAATAGATGAGCTCAGAAACATGCTGGAAGCCATGAATGCCCAGCATAAGAAAAAAATGGAAACCATGATCACCCAGCATAAGAAAGAAATGGAATCCATGAAACAGATGCAAACAGATATCCAGGAGATTAAAAACTCTACTGAAAGTATGCACAGCAAATTAAGGGAATGTGAAGATAGAATATCAGATATAGAAGACAGGATTGCAGTTAAAGACCATGAAAAGAGAGATTTCTTAAAAATAGTAAGGGATCACGAGAAATCAATCCAGCAGCTGCTAGATAATGCAAAGAAGAATAGTATAAGATAGATAGGAGTCCACGAAAAAACAGAAGAAAGCACAACTGACATTAAAAAACTGTTCACAGAAGAAATAGTAGAAAACTTCCCAGACACAGGTAGAGAATTGGACATACAGATAAGTGAGGCATATAGACCTCCAACTAGCCATGATCAAAAAAAATCTACACCTAGACATACAATAGTCAAGATCCCAGAAACCCAATGGAAGAACAAAATCCTACAGGCAGTTAGGGAAAAGAAACCAATCACCTACAAAGGAAAACACATCAGAATCACAGCAGACTTCTCAACACAAACCCTCAAGTCAAGGAGAGCCTGGAGTGAAGTATTTCAAGCCCTAAAAGAACATAACTTCTAACCTACACTGTTGTATCCTGCAAAATTATCTTTCAGAATCAATGGGAAAATTAGGTACTGCCACAACAAAGAACACCTGAGAAATCTCATGAACACCAAACCGCACTCCAAACAATTGTAAACAATATCCTAGAAAAAGACAATGAAGGTCAAAACTCCATGAGGCCCAATGAGGGAAGCCACCAGGCAAGGTAAGAAAACTAAAGGGAAAGGGGGAATAATAAGAAATAAAAGAGCCAACAAGAGTAAAACATCATAACAAGGATAAGCCAATTTCTATCAATTATAACCAGCAATGTTAATGGCCTCAATTCGCCAATCAAAAGAAATAGACTGGCAGAATGGATTAAGAAGCAAAATTCAACAATATGCTGTATACAAGAAACACACCTAATAAAAAGAAATTCATAGACTGAAAGTAAAAGGATGGGAAACAGTTCTCCATGCCTCAGGAACCCAGAAAAAATCAGGGGTAGCAATCTTATTTGCAGACAAAGTAGATTTTAAACCAAAACTAATTAAAAGAGACAAAGATGGTCACTACATCCTTGTGAAGGGAACAATCCAAGAGGAAAAGATGGCAATCATAAATATATATACACCAAATACAAAGGTCCTCAACTCTACAAAACAAATATTAATGGACATGAAAAACCAAATAAGCACTAATATAATTGTAGTGGGGGATCTCAATACCCCACTGTCACAAATAGACAGATCATGGAGACAAAAAATTAACAATAAAATTCTAGAACTGAGCCAAGCTATTGAACAAATGGGCTTAATAAATGTTTACAGAGTGTTCCACCCCACAAAATCAGAATACACATTCTTTTCAGCTGCACACGGGTCATTCTCCAAAATAGACCACATGCTAGCTCATGGGACAGGGCTAAGTTAATGTAAAAGAATTGAAGTTACCCCCTGTATATTATCAGACCATAGTGCAATAAAATTAGAGATCAATAACATAAGAAACGGCAAAACACCCACAAATACATGGAAATTAAATAACACTCTCCTGAATAACCAATTGGTCATAGAGGATATTTAAGAAGAAATTAGATGGTTTCTACAAGTAAATGATAATGCCAGTACAACATACAAGCATCTATGGGACACAATGAAAGCATTTCTACCAGGAAAATTCATAGCAGTGAATGCCCATATTAGGAAAACAGAGAGAACTCAAATAACCTAATGCAGAACGTCAAGCTATAGAAAAAGAAGAGCATAACAAACCCAAAGCTCATACAAGAAAGGAAATTATAAAGAATAGAGCAGAAATCAATGCAGTGGAGACTAAGTGAATGATACAAAAAAATCAATGAATCAAACAGTTGGTTTCTTGAAAGAATAAATAAAATCAATAAGCCTTTAGCCAACCTTATCAAAAAAAAGGGAAGAAAAGGCTTAAATATATGCAATTAAAAGCGAAAAAGGGGACGTCACAACAGACCTAGCAGAAATCCAGAGGATCATCAATACCTGCTTTGAGAACCTGTACTCCAGTAAAATGGCAAACACAGAAGAAATGGGAAGATTCCCAGATACATACAAATTGCCAAA